TGTTGTTTTATTCAGAAGCCAAGTCTGAGAGCAACTGTGCATTAGTGAAGCAAGCCAAGAAAGAGAGATGGCCCGTATGGACATTGCAGGGAGGACTGCAGACACTGACAGACAAATTAACTGACACTCTTATGACACAGCATGGTGTTGAGATTATCAAACAAAACCAGTGTAAACAATTAGAGTTTACAGATAATAATACAATTAAGGTAATATACTATAGTTGCGCTCATGCACAGCTCTTTAGCATGGGCTTAAGAGGTAAAAAATGTTAGTCCAAAATGTTAGAAAATATGCATGAATGGGCTTTGAAACTCTTGGCATGGCATTGACACGCAGATCACTGCAAACCAACCGATCTGACACATACCATGCGTGGAACTATTGGAAAAGTGGTTGGAACTATTTTCTTATTGTGTCAACACAATGCTTAGCGCAGACTAACAAAGTGTGTGTGAATGCTTAGCACAGGCTAACAAAGTGTGTGTGAATGCTTAGCACAGGCTAACAAAGTGTGTGTGAATGCTTAGCACAGGCTAACAAAGTGTGTGTGAATGCTTAGCACAGGCTAACAAAGTGTGTGTGAATGCTTAGCACAGGCTAACAAAGTGTGTGTGAATGCTTAGCACAGGCTAACAAAGTGTGTGTGAATGCTTAGCACAGGCTAACAAAGTGTGTGTGAATGCTTAGCACAGGCTAACAAAGTGTGTGTGAATGCTTAGCACAGGCTAACAAAGTGTGTGTGAATGCTTAGCACAGGCTAACAAAGTGTGTGTGAATGCTTAGCACAGGCTATGTGCCCAAACGCTATTGTATTTCATTTTCATTTGGAAGATCTATTATTATAATCATATTAAGTATTCATTTTGGTATGCCATTTGTGACATGACAATCAATGCAATCACATCTAGGGACATTGTTCTTGAAAAAAAAAATGAACTGACCATCGTATTCTGTACTACTTCCTATTATTCTGCCACTCTTTGGTATTGATTTTTTAACTGTAGAGGTAATATGTATTCCTTGCTAGTTACTGTATTTGGTAATCATAGTTGAAATATTTGTATATTTCTAACAAGTTTTGGCATACCTTATCTATGCTAGCAGTTATTTCCTCCTGTGTGTGAATGTAATCTGAACTAGCCAGCCAGTATACATAATTTACTTAAATCTTAACCCGTACTTAGTACATTCTGAACATGATTTATGAGTTTATTATTGGAAATAAAAAGTATGTATGAAAGCAGTACGGGGAATGTAGCAGTGTAGCAGAGGTTGATATCAACTTGTTATGCCTGAGTGCATTTTTTGTGTTTTTTTCGCGATTATTAACTATACATCAAATTATACATCCTGCAGTACACCTTCACATGGCTGAGACTGCCCAATTATAAATACTGTTTCCACCAATCAAAATGAAGCATTCAACATTACTGTGTTATTTCTTCTACACAGGTTACAACCAAAGACAACTGCTACACAGCAGACCATGTCATCAGTGCAGTACCTGCTACAGGTAAGTATACATACCCTGAATTATTTTGTAAAGGTCTTTGATATGTGTCCATGCAAGTAGAATATTTGACTGGTATTTTCATTTCATTTGATTCCTGTTTTTGGTTTTTCCTACAGTTTTATCGGGATTACTTCCTTCTAACCATAATATTTTATCAAAGCTTTTACAAGAAATTCAACAAGTGTCAGTTGCTGTCATAAATCTGGAATTTGAAGGCAATGTATTACCAACAGATGTAAATATAATAATAAATCTCATTCAAATCAGTAAATCAATAAATATTTCATTTCACATATAACTTCAGTACCATATAACACAATGGACCAATCAGAACTCACCTTTTATACTCATACTATTGTTGTGTATTCTAATTTCTGATTTGTTGTTTGCCTGCAGCTATGTGGTCTGATGGCATGTAGTCAATCTGTACAAGAATACTATTCCATTAATTCTGTAATATCTCATTTTCATATGTTTTCATTTTACCAAAATTCATTGATCTGATTTTTTGATAACTTTGGACCAAATAAACATAATTTTATATTGGTTTTAATGACAATGTTAAAAAAATTTTTAACAAATATTTATATGGATTTCATTTTGTGAAAGATAAAAAAAGTGGACTTTAACATCCATTACAGTGAACTATAAGCTGTACGTTTGATTACAGTGAAATTAAAGCTGTTCATTTCAAACATATTTATAATTGAAAAATACCGCTTTCATCGTCTATCATTCAAATATAGAGATTGGCTCAATATTATTTACGCCCATAATGCACAGCCAAGCTTTCATGTGACATAGCTCTATATACATGTAGCTACTATATTGCTACTACATATTCAAAATGAGGCACTTGGTGATTGGATAATATCAAACTGAATCATTAATATTACTATAAAATCTATATTTGAAACCGTGGTTTCTATTAAAATGGTATAATGCAACGGAGTGGATGCGGCTTCTATTAGAGCATCTACACATATGAGAAAAGGTGAAATTAGGGTCACAATTGTTAAAAAATAATGGTTCCGACTTCTATTAGGGATGCGGCTTCTAATGCAGATTTTACGGTAATAAGAACGAATAATGATGTCTCATTACCATTCCTGGATTGGTTAATTTAAATTCTAACTTTCATTTTTATTTATAAAATATTATATTTATAAAAAGTTTTAATGACCTCACCTTTCTGTGAACTGCTTTTAAAATCTGCATTTTTGACAATAAATTATTGTTTTTGAAAAATTTTGGGTTTGGTCTATGAGCAAAAATATTTACATTAAAATCAGTGTTAATACATCGCCTACTGAAAACCTCTATGGACATACAAACTTATAGGAAACAAGGGCATTGACAGGTGATGTTGTTAAAATATGTTTTTAACTTTCAAAATGTATCAGGTTTCTAAAATTAGTTATATTAATATAGAATACTGTGAAATACTTTATTTTAGCTGGAATTAATTTTCTCTGAAAAGACATTTTGGGTGATTTTTTTCACGTTAAATGTGAAATGTAGGAAAAAAGGTATATTCGCTGGATTTTATTTTCACTGAATCATTCCTTCAGCAAAAATTAATTCCAAGCGAAAATAAAGTATTTTACAGTACATGTACTTTATTTTTTGCTTGGAATTGATTTTCGCTATTTTCGCGAATATACCTTTTTACCTATATTTTACATTCAACTTGTCAAAAATCATTGAAAATATTTTACATACAAAACACCCAAAAAGTCTATTGAGCGAAAATTAAGTCCAGCTAAAATAAAGTATTTACAGTACTGCAATTACCATAAAATCTCTATTAAAAGCTGCATCCCTAATATAAGTCAAACCCATTCTTTTTGAACAATTGAGAACCAAACATTCACCACGTCTCATATATGTAGATGCTCTAATAGAAGCCGCATCCCCTTTGTTGCATTGTATCATTTCAATAGAAACCGCAGGTTCTAATACAGAGTTTACAGTACACAAAGAGTAATTTGCATAGTATTCTGCTTTTACTTGATTTCAGGGTTTTGGTTATCTAATTCCGTCTTGGGAGAAGAGCAAACTACTTGGTGTTATATATGATTCGTGTACATTCCCACAACACAATAGACCTGGTAGTCCAACGACACGACTCACAGTAAGTCTCATTGTTGAGATCCCTCTATGGCAGCAATAAGAAATGTTCGCCGCACACTTTGTTTGTTCAATGTTTGCTCAATATTAACGAGATTTTGTTATCTGCACCAGAATGTTCGACAACATAGTCACTTTAATTCAAAAATGAAATATGTTTTTTTTTTTTTCAAATTTGGTCAGACATAGCAGATAAGGACTATCATTACACAGCATCATCAGTAGGTTATTCAACCAATCAAAAGATATGACACACATCAGAGAAAGTAAATGCTCTTCTGTGAAAGTAAATTCAAACTACTGTAAAAGGATTAATTATTCACTGGGTTTTAATTTTGCTTATTTCGCTAAGTGGAAAATGCGCTAAATTAAAAGCCAGTATATAAATTTAGCATAGAACACATTATCTAAATGATAAAACAGTGAATTTAAAATCCACTGAATATGCATGAAATGGTGAATCAGCAAAATTTAAACCCAGTGAAAATTAGTCATTTTACAGTAATTCAAATAATTCTGCCATTTCAAATAATATTAATGCTTATGTTGCAGTGCATGATGGGAGGTCATTGGTTCGAAGACAACTTTGGTGACCCTGCAATTGCTGATCCCGAACATCTCCTGGCGGTCGCCATGGAAAGCTTAAAAGAACAAATCAATATTGAGGCTAAGCCTACACGGTCCATTGTTAACATACACAAAGATGCTATACCACAGTACCGTGTTGGACACTTCAAAATAGTTGGTAAGAAGAAGAACCCTGTGTGCAAATGAAGTAGAAGGGTAGACAAAATGTGTATTATGTTTTAATGAACAATATTTGAGTTTAGTCTAGAAAAATGAACACTTTATTCATTCAACTTGAGGAGTTTTTGTTGATTTTGTTAAAACCCAGTGAAAACTAGTCATTTTACCTTAGATGGTAAACCCCCTATACTAAGAATCTTCCTGTAAACAGAAAGTTCATGCTATTCTTTGGTTTCACTCATTGTAATTAGTATGCTGTGATTTTTTCACATGTTTTGAGTATAGGAACCGAACACATACCCTTAATAACTATGAATGTTACATGCCTAGCATATGAGCAGAAAGTATTGTTTTTTGGTGTCTGATCATGGGAATCAAAGATTTTCTTGTTGCTGGCCAGATATGCTAGTTGTGTACCATATATTGAGTCAGTATCTCCTCTGAAAGCTTGTAATCGGTAGTTTAGTCAATAAGCATTCTGTTATGTTGTTTTTGTTCTTTTTCAGACAAAATAAACAAATATCTTGATCATCATAACATGCCATTAGATGTCATAGGATCATCTTTCTGTGGAGTCAGTGTCAATGATTGTATCTACAATGGCAGGAGAACTGCTGAGAAGCTATTGACGTAATGTTTTTACCATCATTGTTAAGTTTCACCACCTTGCACAAACTAATGTGAAAATCATTCTGTTGTTTACATCTGCAGTGATTAACATTTTTATTCAAATTATATACTGGTAAATTTATAAATTTTGTTTTAACTTTTTCATTGCCATTACTTAATCAATAAACTGTAGTATTTTGAGTACATTATAATATAGTTGTAATTATTGATATTAGTTTTTCAAATTAGAATTTCATTTTCTGTAACTTACCCGGTATGTAGGAAGAGATTCGTCTGTTGTCATAAATCTTGTCATTCTTGTAAGTGTTTTACACTAATATGAATATTTTTCTCAGACTGGGTCATATTATTAATTTAATTCACCATTAAGTGGGTGGTAGCGCTACATTTAAGTATTCAATACTAGTAGACAAAAAAAATCTTACAGAGTTAGTCTTTTTATTAATGGTGTGGAACTAATAAGATAACAGTGGTCTTTTTTTGAAAATTTTTTTTTTAATTTAAAATACCTCAAGATAATACTTTCTAGATAATATGAGATTATTACGAGGATACCTCAAAGTATGCATGAAAGCAGTACAGCGAGAGTATTGAATGACACACAGCAGAAGTCGATGCGACAGCGTACTGTCTCAGTGCATACTTTGAGGTATCCTCGTAATAACCTTATTATTATACATCTTTCCCTTCCAAGGATACATCATGAAATCTAAAAAGTTTAGAACAGAATCAGCGAACTTCTTTGTGTGGAGTCTGGTCAAACCCTGGTGGCAGCTATTTTTGTTTTTATCATTAAAGGATGCTTGCGTGCGTAATCTTTCCCTATTTGGTAGGATGAAAATACCCCGTAAAACACTGCAAACTTATGGCGTTACAGTGACAGATGTATAATAATATGTTATAGGTGCTATGCATGTTGACTTCACAGGATGTCACTATTGTCTAATAATTTCGCAATACAGACAAATTGATAATTGTCAAATTTTTGAAATATTGAGGGGACTTGAATGCAATGTGTTTTTTCATGTTAATGGGATAACCATGGTACAGGGATATATAGTTTTAATTTTCTACTCAATTAAAGAATAAATATGTATTTATATCATCATGTTAGTTTTTGCATGAAAAAATGCAAAATTATTAATGAATCCCACCGGTATCTGATGTGGTGAGCAATTGTGATGTATTTCATTAAGTTGTGCAAATGTGAGGTTTTGTTTTAACTCCGCTGTCATCTTGATTGTCCATTGGTGTCTGTGTCAACTTTTGACTATTTTAACTTCTTCTTGAAAACTACAAGTCTGAATGCTTTGATACTTGGTATATATACCTTGGGTAGACCTCTCTTGGATTCATTCATTTCATGATGATATCATTAATTCTGTGATTTAGGTGAATATTTTTTTGTAAAAAAAAATGATTTTTTTGACTACTTGTTGAAAACAGCAAATTCGATTGTTTTGATGTTATACATAAAAGTACTTCAGGTGGACCTTTCTCTTCACTTCTCTATTTGAAATGTGCAGAGGAGCAATCTCAGTCGAGATGTTGCTTGTTGTACACACCTTTTATGTATTTTGTGAAAACATTTAAGTGTGCAAATGGGTCATCCAGGGTTATCAACCTGTTTATGACATATTGACCAAGAAGTGGTACCCATTTGACGACAGATTATATATTATGTACTTTTGATTAGCTGAATCAATGTCTGCTGCAGTTGCTCATTAATTTTATATAACCTAATAGTCGAGGAGATTGTCACCATGGTCACCATTCTGATAATATGATTAATAATATTTGACTAGTCAGGTGTTTGCCATACTTTGCCACCAATGGTCAATGAGGCACAATCTTGTAAACACTTCGACTTGACTATTAAAAACGTAGTGAGATGTGCGTTATAGGAAAGGCCCGTTCTCGTGTATTGAGACCCCCTTCCAAAATTGGAGTGTGTTTACCTGTATTCAAGCAATTTAGTTACAACATAAAAAGGCTTTTTGAATCTTATTTATTGTATGCTGCAGAACATCTGAACCACAAATTCAGATGATATCTCACTCAACTCTATACGGACTGCGTTTAAAGCGCTACGGTCGTCACGCAACGCAGCGTTTTCAAATTTAGTGTAAACAATGTATTTACACGCGTTGTATATGTCACTTTGGGTCTCATATCGAACACGGCGGTGCGACGACTAGCAGACTGCTTTAAGCAAGCTGCCCAAATAAACACGACAGTTTGTATGTAGAGATTCATTTAATAAGAGCATTCCTTCATCGCCAATGTACCCTATGATTTGTTTAAGTGTACATTCAGTCACATAGTGTAGCCACTCTGATTGCCGTGTAAGATTCATAAGATAAGATAATTTCTTGCATGAACGAGCTGAGAACTGTTACTCTCCGGCCATCAATCTTTGTATTAACAAACCGTTAATGGAATACGTCAAAAACGTCGCTTCCACGTAATTAACCGTCTGTATATATGAAAGAGTGATAGTCTGTTCGAAAGATTACTTCCATAATTCCCCCAGACACAAGTCAGAGATCACACAAAACTTCAATGGAAATGTTGATAATTGGAGAAAGCCGCCCTTTTCATTAATTGCTTTGTATCACCGCATCTCAAAAAGTAATGGTTTGTCTAATGTCGTTCACCTCCCGTATACCAGCAGGTAGCAACAAATACTAAATGACACACAGCTTTGGCATTGTCTGTATTTCTAGTTGAACGGTATGCTGGTAAACCAAATATTGTTTTCAATGAAAACAAATTCCCTTCTTAAATGCTTTACTCTGCAGTACGTCTTTCTAAACGGTATTCGCTCCAGGACCTATACTGTTAAGCCATATTTCCTAGCAACACTTGGAGATAGGATATCCGGGTACGTTGGATGTTATCAGTGACGTCACTAAATGATCCATTTTATTTAAATTTCATCCGTTTCTACTTACCTACTAGCGATATATATGTTAATAAATTAATAAATATGTCCAATGTTGATTGGCTACGAAAACAAACTGTGTTAACGGGGCTGTAAAGGTTGTTTGATCGCAAACACCCTCCATATCCTAGATTTATGACTCGATAATTGTAAAAATCACTTTATTGTAAAAATAGTTTCAAATAACCGACATTATCTGGAGTCAGTAAAGTTTCCTGCAAATATTAGAAAACTCATTGTTACCAATATTTTGATATTTATTATTCAGAATATTGTGTAATAATGTGTGGCTAATGGTTTTGTGAAATATGATTGCGGTCAGTGACTCATAAAGCTACCGACCGCGACAAGGACAGTACTGTGGTTGCATGTGGTTGGATAAATGTACTTGTCATATAATAGTTCCTGTACAGGGGTAATGATATCCCATCGTTTACCTACATAGTTGAACCCCAGCAGACTTCTTTGACTCGCAATCGTTAATTCCTAATCACGTTTTTCGTCTTTACAGTAAATAACGGATTCAAAGTTGTTGTTTTTTAAATTATCCGAACGCATGCGCGGTGGCACGTCCCAAATTCACCATTAGTCTGATGTGAGTTGCGGCGGTAAGTGTAGCAGTGCAGTCTCGTACACGACGATCTTCATTCGACAGGTGAGTACCTAGTATGCGTTGACAGGCGTACTGTCCATGCTCACGTTCACAATATAATTTCATGTTCGAGTACTGATTCACTATCGGTACAGCCATTATCAAAATGCCAATTCGCGTGTGATGTGCCGAATAATTCTCATTTCAAGAAATCGCGTATAATTTGCAGACAGCAGAAACTGCTTATTTATTTATTATATTTCTTTATGAATCAGCTTGTATGGTGTCTAATTAAGATTATTTCGACATTGCTATCATTTAGGGGACGTGGATGCGCACTTGTCAAAGTTTATTTCAATTACTGTGCAAACATTGCACTGTGTTATTTTCAGGTGAAATGACAAGATGAATACATATGATGTCATACCGTATAGGCATCACGCGTATCAGCGGCGTATATTCATGAATTCTATAGGTGCACGTGTTAGTTGGCTAAAAATACATTACCAATATTTCCGGTTTTTGATTTAGACGCAAACACGTTCATATTTTAGGCTTATGCATGATTCGACAATCAATAAGTCAAAGATCACCAATTTGAAATTGTAAAACATGTTTAATCAAATTACCTGCATTTCAAGGAGTAAATATTAATAATAATATTAGCTGAATATATTTGAATACTCATTCATGCTCATATTTAGGCATTTATTCTCTCAAACACGGTGAAATATTTCACGGACAAAGTTTGATTTTCATACACTACGAAAGGGCGTACTGTATATGGCACTTCAACTCAATTAGCTGATGACTTGCGCTGTAGAGATACCAGGTTCGACCCTTAGTTTTTACGGTCAGCTGAGGTAACGCCTCGTTGCCCCTTCTATACAAAATAATACTTCAAAGTCGTGTGAACCAAATGTGCGTACGTGATGACATTATGGTAATATTTGTACAATATATGATACTGTCCGTAAATACAGTCAGTCGATGGAAGTTAATTGCGAACTATGGCCGACAAATGTGGTGATCGACGTAGAGTAAAGCTACTTTGCGGATGCCCAATTTAAGTACAGTAAAATACTGTAGTTTCGCTAGAGGAATGATTCAATAAAATCTAGCGAATATACTTTTTTTCTTATACTTTACATTCCATACAAAATACCCAAAAAGACTTTTCAGCGAAAATTAATTCCAGCTAAAATAAAGATGTATTTGTCTATGGTGCTGGTACAGGGACAATTATATCCCATCGTTTACTTACAGAGTTGAACACCAACAGGCCAGTTTTTCTGCAATTCTTGAATTTATTCGACCTGAAATCGTGAATTGTTATATAAAAATAATCTTTGGTCTCAGAAAGTAACAGGTTGTTTTTTATTGTCAACACGCATGCGCGTTATGACTTTGCTTATTGACGATTCTGAGTTGTCCATGGCGTAACAGTGTAGGTTTATGCATGCTCTTCGTCATACAGGTAGATATCACTGATACGAGATTTGATATGTATGTTGCCATTCAAAATACAGTGTCATGGTCGAGTACCGAAACAATCAAAATTCATGATGAATTCCCAGACGAATAAGCCAAGCAAACCAGTAGTGCACTAAACAAATGCTTTCCGACTTAAATGAATTAATGTCTACTTATTTCATCTATTTAAGAATAGGTTTGTATATGATCAAATTAGAATTTCGACGCTAGAACAGATATGACATAGTAGTGAAATGACTGGGTTCATTGTCCGTTGTATCCTCTCTTTCCTCCCTGTCGAAAACTAGTACGTATTTGTAACATGTGATACTATGGCTTGGGGTATGTAATTGTAATATCCGTGATTCTTAATGGATTTTTCTCAGTATGCATTCGACATCTGTGTGAAAGGTCGCGTGCCTGTCACGAAACACCATTCGCACAACTTTAAGAATTGCATTCATGTACTATCATTCATACCCCCACTGGCAGGACGTGGTTGTATTTTCACGAATATCATTTCAACTCAGAATAGCTCCGTAGTAAGTTCATCGATCGTAGTCGGTCTTGTAGTTCACTATACATATTATGGGAACTCACCAAGGATATGAAGGTATTGTCTTTTTTTATAACTATAAAACTTTTTTAAAGGTTGTTTGTTGTTGTTGTGTTTTTTTCAATCTTTGTGCCAGGCGACATTTCCGGACATTGAAGTTACTGCCACTCCTGACTTTGTGTGTACTAGGTGCTAATTGCAACAGAACGTACAACCAGTCCCCAAAACCTAATATTTTCAAGTTTATGAAATTCTAAGTTCGATAAAAAAAGAACTTTGATATGATGTTTGGTATCATTTCCACAAATCCGGGTGAAATGTTAAATCCAAGGAATTCAATCAATGAACACTATACACTATATGTTATTTATAATGTAATCGTAACCAGGAACTATTTGGTTTGAATTCTTATATATTACATCAGATTTTTCAGTTGCAAATTACGTTATGTTCAAATTTTCATTGCACGAAACTTAAAATTTGCAAATACAAATACAACACCAGTCATGTGTTACCATAAACAGGGGAATATTGTATTAATACTAGTACTGAAGATGTCATCTATGGCAATTTGATTAAAGTAACCGCCGACTGACCTCTCCTAACATGCATTGTGTAAGTTGGCTTCTTTCGCGATGCTCGTAGGTGTGTTTTATAATATTTAACAGTGTTTAAAAATGTACAAATGCTGGTCCAAAAATACCCTGAATATATATAGTCCATAAATAATCTAAATTAAAAAAAAAAAAAAACTTTACCACAAACATGGTGACGGCAAAGAGTAAAAGCGGACATGAAACCAAACTAATTCCGATTCCTGTAATCTGATTTTCATTCAGAGTTCGCTTCACGCAGGGATATCAGTTTCTGTTTTAGCTTCAAATTGTCGTTTTTGAGGTTACGTAGAGTTCGACCAATTTATTTTTTCTTGATTGTAGGACAGACAATTCAATATAATATAACCGACTATCTGTAATAATTCTGAAAAAAAACTTGCTATCTACACAAAGCAATTGAGACTACACCATGTATAGCAATGGCTACATCGAATCATAACACCTTCCTCAGAGTTGTACTTGTTTTTCAAGATTCATTTTTCTTCATATTCTGTTTTATTTCGTTTTCTGCAACTTCCAAGAGGACAACTACTTGTTGAGTGTTCGACAGGGTTGAGCGGTCGAATATAACTGTTTGTATTAGACGAGAACACGGTTTTGTAAAAGTATTTTACAAGTGCGCTGATCACGTTTATAACAAGCTACTTTAACGATGGTGCTTTATATCGACTCTTTTAGCACGATTGTTTAAAACCGTTCCAATATGGTGGCACACACTCGTAATGGACTCCAGACATGAGTTTGGAAAATATTAACTCTATGTCGGCGACATACACCTACGTACTTGTTGTATGCAGTGTGTTCACTTTGTCCAGTACTTTAGTTTGATTTGTTTCACGGCATGTACTCTCAATTTTGGTGAACTTCATACACATCGATATAATTTCCTGTAGTCATGGTAATTTCCAGTGCGGTAATTTGAATTGATTAGTCAGATTGATGATGAGACTGATGGCGGCAACGACGAACAACACAGAATTTGTTTTAGAAAATGCTACATAATACAATAATTTGAACACCGTATTTTTTCTTGATCAGCGAAAACACCAGTGTTAACTCTAAGGGTATGTGAGGTATAATAACTTGCTAGAGTAATTGAATTGTACAAACCGTGAATAAGTAAAGCTCACAAGTCTAGCCCTGGTGTCACGTGAAACGCCCTCTTATGTATATATATTAGTTAATAGTTTTCTCGTCTATACTGTCGGTTCAATCTAATATATTTAATTACAGTGTTGTATTTCGTTTCCTGTGTCAGTATGATGGACAAAATTTACCAACTCCTCTTATAGTTAGCGGAAACAAATATTTCAAGAAGGCTTGTGTGACCTGTAAAATATCTATTCTTAGCTCAATATTGTAACTAAATCTACTGCACTGATATTTTGTCCAAGTAAAGGCGATGACAAAATATGTACGTTTGACTAAATGAAATGTATGCAGATATTAAACTTTATAGGAAAATTAAGCATAGTATCATTTATTTGAAAGAAATCAACAATAAGCTGGTCGTCGAACATGTGTGTAATATCGACAGTTTTATTGTATTCAAATCTAGTCTTTTTTTCGGAATAATGCTGAAACTTTAAATTTCAAACACATATTTTGACATGTTTGCTTCTCTGGGCGTTTGAACGCTAATCACTCGGTGGTAATCTTCATGGACTGGATACGGCTATTGAGGCCCGAGGTCACGTGCCCTCGCCCGAACTTGCGAGGGCGAGTAAGCCGTACGACCGAGTATCCAGTGAATAAAGGTTTTATCATACACCTTATAAGTGTAATTACAATTGTACGCGTCGTAACCTCAAACACACGGCGTAATTTAGAATGGCGAGTTTTGTTTTGTTTGATGAAAGCTGGACCGGGCGTGATACGGTAAATTATTGCCCCGGTGTGAGGGCGCACTTCCCATAGCTTTACGAGGCCGGGCAATATGAGGCATATGATAAAACAACTTTCTTAACATGTATACGGTTTGTCCAACTCGGCGACAAAAAGTCTAGCTTTTATGATTGTCGATTTTATTTGATTTAATTGACAATTTCACATTATTTCGGTACATTGGCTGTACATTTATCAACAAGTTTTGTTGAAATTTATATAAACAATTCTAGTATCGAAGTACTGTGGCAACGACAAGAAGCAATCCTAATGAACATTATTTAGCGTAAGATTCTAAATCAAATCTTGTGTCATTGGTGTAAGAGTGTTGCAATAAAATGATTACTTCTAATTGTACAACTTGAATCAATATAATTTTTAGAAATGTACGCCTTCTTGTTCTGTATACTGCCCTCAACGGTGACTTTGTGTTCAGCTAATAAGGCGCCCTCGCAGCCAACATGAAAGAACGAATCTAGTAAAAAATTTGTTTTTTTTTTACAATTTCAGAATATTTATTTTGTTACTGATTTGAAGATGGCGTCACCGATATCAGTTGTCAAAGGATCTAGCTCCGCCAATTGTCATAATCCACTTGGTGAATGCAACAACAATACGGACAAATGTCAAAGTACTTTTCAATTGGTCGAATCGTTCGGGCGCTCCAGACTGAGTAACCCACATGGAGTTACACTGTCTTACAACGGAGATATCGTCGTAGCTGACAGAGGCAACCATAGCGTGCAGTTTTTCACTTGGTCCTGCTATTACATGACATGCGTTCATATGGTAGACGGGGGACCTACCGACATCTGTGCTATGAGGTACCAGCGTTTTTGCGTCACCGATGCAAATAACGGAGTCGTCCGTATTATCACCCAGGACGGTCGGCTAGTGAGAAAAATTGGAGAAGGCATACTAATCAGACCGATCGGAATCGCCACTCTTTCTGATAATATCTTTGTCGTTGATTCGGATAACCACTGCGTGCTGAATTTCTCTAAACTGGGAAGAGTGATTAAGAAGATTGGTAGCTATGGCAACGGTGATGCACAGTTTTGTCATCCATCGTTTATCGCCGTCAACGGAAAAGGAGAGTTGATTGTTTCGGATAGCGGGAACAGCAGAGTTATCGTCGTCTCGCAGAATGGGGAATGCATCTTTAGTATCGATGGGAAATCCGGCGAAGATGTACAGTTTCGAAATCCGCGCGGGGTTGCAGTTGATTTCCATGACAACATATACGTCGCCAGTGATCATCGAGTTCTAATGTTCTCTCCTAGAGGGCGCTTCCTGTGCCTTGTCGTCGATGATGCGTCTCTCGAGGCTCCAACGGGTTTGGAAGTTACGAAGAGAAATCCATGTGAAATAGTTGTGTCTGATTCGTCAAACAATTGTATACGTGTCTATACGGGATACTGCCAGAAAGACCAATATTGAGGAGGTCGTGAGGCGAAGCTATGCTTTGTTTGATTGCCACACGTGACCACATTCCAAGAACACATACCCACACACAACAAACACAGTGCATATTCAAATCATGCAGAACAATTGGAATGATCCGGTTACTAGTAGACGATAAGTCAAGCTCTCTTGCGAACACGAGTTCAAAAGCGGGGGAGGCGTCACCTGCGCATACGTCAGATGGCCATAGCGTGTAATTGTTTACAAACAAGCGTCTACCCATGAGCCTTTGCGTTTTTAGCGTGTGTTGTATCGTCGCTTGGGACTCAATTCCCGCGCGCGCGCAGATCACGACTCTCCCGCTTAAATTTTATCACCCCTACCACGATAGCCATGTGTACACCGAGTAGCACTTAGTGCCTGTGCTAGTATATGAGAAATCCAGTACGCTTGGATACGTACGGTCTAATATGGGTTGACTGTGACTGTGAATTAATTCAAAGTTGTATTGTCGGCATACTTAGTTGAAAGCCTTTTAAATTTTCGATTTATATTGATTTCTTATTTTCACTTCAATAAACCCTATCATATCATTGCTGTTTCAAATTCTGCCTCGGGTGAGCCCTAAAACAATTAACCTAAGTATGAAATACATAATATGTTCTATAGTGAAATATTAGTTATATAAATTAAATGGGAAGAAACTTAATTGCCACTCAAGAGACAACTCATAGGACTATTGCCGTCTCAGACTAATCTAAATGCAAAATGCTTCACATCGAATATTGATTTTTTGTTAGATTTATAGTCAATCTTCGGTTGTCGAACAAAGTATTCCCTGTGCTATCTGGTGACTTGGTAACACCCTAAGATATTGAAACTTAATCACAACTGATCAATGGAACTACTCGGTAATGTTCAGCTTTTGGTAAAAAAAATGCTCATTACTGACATATTTGTTATATAATGCATATTAATTCGCATGCCAAAGATTCAAACAAAAATACCGACAATGCAATTTTGACAAATTTATTTTGCGTTCTACGTTGCACAGACACAAATATGTGAATTAAAAATGACGAACGAACTCCACATGAACTACGCACATTGTGTTCTAATGTAACATATTCTACTATAATTAGAAATATTTCCATTTATAATTAGTTAAATCTAAATCGTTTGTTGATAAGCTAGTTGGAAATTGTATCAATTTACTGGGGTCACTCAGAATGTAGTTGGAAAGGGGTGTATTTCTAACCGTTTATTAAATATAAAACAAGAATATCAAATCCTTAGATTTGAAATTTTAGCAAACACAATCTAGTTTTAAAATATCAGAATGGCGCATTTAGAGTGGGTTCTCAGCTTTGCCCAACTCAGCTCTAATATTGTCAGTCCCTGTGCCAATGTATTTTGGCTTTCATCTACTTTGATGATATTGTTCACTACTTGTTATAAAAAATAAGATAACAAAATCGTCCATTTATTTTTAAATGTAACGTAATCCAAGTAATTATCTTTCTGTGTGAATATTTCCTGCTTTTCAAGTTTTTACATTTCGTCTTTGAGAATGTAATTGTAGTTCTAGACATCTATCCTATATATGTACCTACATAAAATGATACAGAAACAGGAAACATAATAGTGGGATACAGTAAGAATCGATATATTCGGTTCTAACTCTTTGATATTCTATTTGTTTGAAAATACAATGATTAATCACTACTTCTGGGTATCAATTGTAATTCGCCACTTCAAAGTGACATCAATCCTTTTTCGATAATATAATATACTACTGTAAATAGTACTGTAAAAGGATTAATTATTCACTGTGTTTTAATTTTGCTTATTTCGCTGACTGGAAATGCGGTAAATTAAAACCCAATGAATATGTAAAATTTAGCATAGAACACATTATCTAAATGATAAAACCGTGAATTTAAAACCCACTGAATATGCAAATTAGTGAAATTTAAACCCAGTGAATATTAGTCATTTTACAATAATTTGCACAATTACGAACAATCACTTTCTATCTATTGTAACTATGAAGTTATTATCAGGTAAAATAAAAGCCATGCTAAGTGTCATGAATAATACTAGTCCAATGTTAATAGATATTTCATGAATATTGTCATTAAAGACATGGGTTAATTATCAGAAAATGATGCGTCTTTTTTTACACTTGTAACGTATTGTATCGTATATGTAAATTACTTCCGTATTATTTACTCGCAATGTTATATTTCGTTTCAATGCGATAGGATAATGGGTACTGACTTGTCATGAGATTGGGGTAGCAGTCACACGTAAAAAAGGTGGGTTGTATTCGAGGTGTAGTGTGGTGTGTTGTGGTGGGGTGTTGTGTAGTGTGGTGTGGTGTGATGTACTGTGGTGTGGTGTGGTGTGGTGGGGTGAGGTGTTGTGCAGTGCGGTGTGGTGGGGTGGGGTGGGGTGTGGTGTGTTGTGGTTTAGTGTTGTGTAGTGTAGTGTAGTGTAGTGTAGTGTAGTGTAGTGTAGTGTAGTGTAGTGTAGCGTAGCGTGGCGTAGCGTAGTTTGTCATGAGATTGGGGTAGCAGTCACACGTAACAAAGGTGGGATGTATTCGAGGTGTAGTGTGGTGTGTTGTGGTGGGGTGGGTATTGTGCAGTGTGGTGTGGTGGGGTGGGGCGTGGTGTGCTGTGGTGTAGTGTAGTGTAGTGTAGCGTGGCGTGGCGTGGCGTAGTGTAGTGTAGTGTAATGTAGTGTACTGCAGCGTTGTGTAGTGTAGCGTAGCGTAGTGTAGGGTAGTGTAACGTAGTGTAGTGTAGTGCAGTTTAATGCAGTGCAGTGAAAAAATCAAAGAATTGCATGCGTTGCCTAATACACCTTGACATTTTAAGGTATAATGTTCCAGCAAGATGCTGCCACATATATTACTGTCGAGAAGCAGGTTTCTGGTGCGAAACCGTGTTTGTGGACGATGCGCTTTAATGTTCTAGTATAGATGGCGCTATAAAGCATTAAAAGTCGTCATAATCTCTCATCAAGTCTGGTTGATATGCACGTACATATGGCAGTGTATAGTGCGCATGTCTCACCAAAGGTTAGCATATATCATACGCCCTGACAACATATCACGTGACACTGTCTGTAAATATGTCGCTGATTAGACTCGAGACAAAGAACTTCTATCAATAGTTCATCGTGGTGTGTGTCTCCCATCAACCCGGCTAACGACACTCCTCAAGTTAGCGTTTCAGATTGTTTTCAACAAAAAGAAACCGGCTGTTCGAATGATAATCAGTGAAACTCGCTAATTTTAAGGACGTGCTTCTGCAGATAGTCGTCTACATCACGTAGAAGGTAATACGATACTCAAATACTTTGTGATTGAATATTACATAGTTCAGAGAGCGGCGACAGTGTTGTATATTATATCATGAAATACATGGTTGAATTGATGGAAAGAACGGACATTAATGGCGAGACAAATGAGACAGAAACGTGTATGAATGTGTATTATATCGACACGATTAAACGCTAACAACGAGGCATATATGTATTACGTTATAGCTCATGCGAAAAATTACATTTTCAAACGTTCTCGCCGGATGGCCAAGGAATAAAATGCTAAAACCTAGCCGAAGCGGTGTAGTGTTATACAAAGCAAAACATTGAAGCTAAAAAATAAACAACTTTATATGACGATTGAATTTATAGGCGTCTCCTTTCCCGCACCCAACTCTTAAAAAACGGTGACATAAATATATGTGTTTATTTTCGATGTGACGTGTTGGAACCGCCATGTTTTTTGATACATTTGAAGCACCTTGCAAACTAACCTATCAGCTGATGTCAGGGTAAAGTCCGTTTAACTAGACCAAACAAGGACACATTGCTGATAGAACCCAGACATGATATTATAAGTTTCACACTACAATTATAATTTGTATTAAGACGCGGTGTCACGTGGACATGTAACCCTCTATGTTTTGAATACAGCTTTTTGCAAGAGATGGCATGCATGTACTTTCAACTATTTTATTTCACATGATATTAGAATGAATAAGCTTAGATATGTCCAACTGGTTTTGAAATGCGAATCACAAATGATGAACAATGTACTGCAACATGAACTATGTGCATTGTGTTCTAATTTCACTGCATAGTATTCTTAGACTATTATTATCTGTAGACATAGTTTGATTTAGTTAATCACTTCCACTGGAATTTGTAGCAAGGTAGAAACCACTCAGAATGTAATTCTATCTAGTTTGAAATACATATTTGTAAGGGCTTATTTCAAAATATTTTACTTAATTTGACAGAAACAGAATAAACAAACCTTAGATATATCATGGAGCTCTTTTTTTTACCTCCATGGATATATTAATGGCATTTAGCGAAATGAAGTTGAAATGGCGGACTGATACATTTAAAAGTGAGTGAGTCGTCAGCTTGGTCAACTTTTGTAACATTGCCAATACCCATGTAGTTGAATCATTTTTAGGGCTTTGAATTTTATTGTTTTTAATTTTTAAATAGTTTGGATACTTGATTAATTAGCTCAATATTCAAATTACCCCTGTTTTTCAACAATTTAGATGGCAATTTAGGTGTAGTATGAGACCTGTAGATGACTGTAATAAATATGTAACCAAGTGTAACTATATGTAACTATAAGTAACCAGATGTAACTATATATAACGAGTTGTATTTACACGTAACTAAATGTAACTACAGTATATATAACGAATTGTGACTATATGTAACCATTTGTAACTGTACATCATGTGTGTTGACTATATTTAACCAGATGTAACCATATATAACATGATATAACTACATGCAACCAGTTGTAACTATATAAAGCCAATTATAACTATATGTCAGCAATTGTAATTACACGTAATCATAGCCAGTTGTAACAAACTGAAGCTTAAAGTGTAATTAAGACATTGCACGTTTACTATTGATGTTTTATAGCATTTGTCTACGATCATCGAATGATTGGTGATTGGCTATTTTCATTCGATGGGCGATAATAATCGTTC